TCTATCTATCTATCTATCTATCTATCTATCTATCTATCTATCTATCTATCTATCTATCTATCTGTCTATCCTCTCTCTCTCTCTGCCACAGGGTTCTTAATCCCTTATGTGATTCGGGCCACCGTTAAGCAAATCCTGTTCCCCGCATGGAATTTGCTCATGGCGATCAAGTCTCTCTCTCTCTCTCTCTCTCTCTCCCCCTCCCTCCCTCCTTCCCCCCTTCTCTCTCTCTCACACACACACGGGATACCGCAACTGTTGTCATATATACAAAAGCAGCCAAATTTTGGTCATGGGGATGTTGCGCTCATTCAGCGTGAGGACATGTTAATTAGTCACTTCTTCCTCAGTGACGTTAGAACTTGGAACCGTTGTTAAACAGACGGTCATAAGTTGAGGACTACCTGTAATTGGACGCCCACCCGTTTCTTGGGACGGCCAGGAAAGGCATGTCCATCTACTGTGTCTACCTCATTCTTGGAGAGCTTCCTCCTCCTCCTCCTGCTAATGTCTTCTCCTGCTTCTAAGACTGTTCTTTCGTTGGTGGGCATCCATCTCTTCAAGGGCCAACCTTCATCTAACCTCCATGAGAACATTCAGACCTGGGTAGGACAACCCACCTCATTCCATTCCATTCCATCACGCTACCAATGAAGGTACTTCCAACCTTACCCTGCTTCCAGATCTGGTGTCTCAAACCTTGGTCCCTTGAACTTCCAAGTCCTCTGATTTCCAAGACTTCGCCTCCCAGAATTCCCTGGGCCAACCAGTGTCCTCTTCTGGGTCTCGTAACCAGCTGGGCCTGGTTGACTTGGGAGCCAAACCTGGAGATCAGCTTGGTGGAACTCCATCCTGGGTCTACCTTGTTTGACGTCCTCCGGGGAAATTTGGGGGGAGTTGGAAGTCCATCCTTGTTCAAGGATCCTTGAAGTCAAGGTTGAGGGACACCATTGATGGCAAGGGTTGGGCCTTGAAGGTCCTCAATGGTGGGGGAGCAAAGCCATGGGACATCTGGAGAAGACCTCAGATGGAGGCCAATGTCACATTAGAATAGAAGGAGGTGGAAGCAGAGGGGGAATTCTGGGAGTTGAAGTCCGCACATCAACCTTAGCAGCTGAACCCTTCTCTAGGTTGTCTACCTATTTCTCACCTCCTCCTCCTCTAGAAGGTTCTCCTACCTAAATATCAGCCTGAACTTCTTCCTTCTGCTGCTCATAACCCCTTTCCAAGTTCTTCTCTTCGGCTAAGCGCTCTTCAGCCTGGCTTGATCTCCTCGTGGGGTCCCCCCATCCCAGAGAGTCTCCCCAAAATTTCCCCCTGGAGGGGTGGATCTATTTAAGCCCTCTGTAGAACCAGAGGGGACATCCTTCAATGCCACCCCCACCCACCCACCCAGTTTTCTCCTGTGGCCAAAGGGACAGCCCACCGAAGTTAATTTAATTAAGTTATAATTTAACGGGCAGCGGAAAGCAGAAACATTCCAGGTCTCCTGAACCCCTGCGGCGAGTCCCCCGGGGGCCAGGAAGCAGAGCCTGGGTATCCGTTGGGTTTTTAATAAGCATTATGTTAATATTATTAATTATGGTTCATTAATGGTTTGTTGTTTTTTCTGAAAAGCAATAAAAAGCTGTTTTATTTATTTAAGGCGATTTATACAGTGGCTCCTGGTGTTTTGCATGGTTCTTTATGGGGATAGAACCCACTGAGGCAGGAGGGAGGGGGCGGTCTGTTGGCTGGGGAATTCTGGGAGTTGAAGTCCACCCATCTTAAATCAGTCATGCTGAGGAATCCTGGGAGTGGAAGTCCACATACCTTAACCCACTGGGGATTCTGGGCCTTGAAGTCCATCCATCTTAAAGCAGGCTGACTGGGGAATTCTGGGAGATGAAATCCACACACCTTAACTGGGAATTCTGGGGTTTGAAGTCCATACACCTTAAAGCAGTCTTGCCGAGGAATCTGGGAAGTGTAGTCCACACACCTTAAAGCCTGCTGGCTGGGGAATTTGGAGACTTGTAGTCCACCCATCTTAAAGCAGGCTGACTGGGGAATTCTGGGAGTTGAAGAACACGCACCTTAAAACAGTCATGCTGAGGAATCCTGGGAGTGGAAGTCCACACACCTTAACCCACCGGGGATTCTGGGGTTTGAAGTCCATCCATCTTAAAGCAGGCTGACTGGGGAATTCTGGGAGTTGAAATCCACACACCTTAACTGGGAATTCTGGGAGTTTTAGTTCAACCACCATAAAGAAGGCTGGCTGGGGAATTCTGGGAGTTGGAAGTCCCCACACGTTAACTGGGAATTCTGGGAGTTGAAGCCCACACCCCTTAAAGCAGTCTTGCTGAGGAATCTTGGGAGTTGGAGTCCACCCATCTCAAAGCAGGCTGACTGGGGGGATTCTGGGATTTGAAGCCCACACCCCTTAAAGCAGTTGAGGGATCTGGGAGTTGTAGTCCGCCTTCCTTAAAGCACGCTAGCTGGGGAATTCTGGGGGTGGAAGTGCGCCCTTCTGAAAGCCGTGTCGAGGAACCCCGATAGACGGAAAGCAGAGACCCAGGAAAGAGGTGAGACATGATCCTACTAAGAAGGGGAGTCTTGACCTCCGAGCATCTCCTGCCCAGCCCAATCTGGAATTTCGTTTTGGGGACATTCAAGGAACGGAGATCAGTTACAAAAACAGCTGTTGGCCAGGAAGGATGCTTGGAAAAAGACGCTGATGGGAACAACAGCTGGCCACTGCAGCTGTGAAAAAGTAAGGGGAGGGGGAGACCTACTGCCTACTTTATGGCTTCTTCAGATCCTTCCTCGCTCCGGGACTGCGGGCGGCCACCATTTTAGCTTTTCCCCACAATGCTGCCCATCTTTTTGCCCGTTTCCTGCTTAGCTAGGATTCCTCTCCGTCCCACAGACGGGATCCCCAAGTCAGCCAGATCTTTGAAAATGGAGCGAGACCTGGGGAGGATCCGCCGATGCGCATTTCCCACGTTATCTAACTGCAGGAATCAAAAGTTTTCATGTTTATATATTTAGAGTCACAGCCCCTGGTAAGCCCCAATTATGGGAGGAAGCTAACTGCCTCCATCATCTGTCAATCGGCTCG